ATATATATATGCGAGTGAGTGAGAATGATTGAGTGAATGAGTGAGTGAGCAGTAGTGGGTGGATAGAAAGTGGGTGGTGCTTTTTAAACGAAAAACCAACCCCCGTAGCGGAAAAGTTTAATCGAAAATTTTCTCTTCACGGCATATCCCACACTCTCTCTCTCTCTCTCTCTCTCTTACTAATAGATCGACTTTGTTAGGTTCACGGTTATCTCCGAGGGGTATTTTTTTTTTATCCTCTCCGTGAAATTACGTCCTTGATGGAAGGTAAATTTGCGAACACGTTTCTGGTCCAAGAGTGGGGGAGGAACAGATCGAGGAACGTAAATATCACTCGTGATTTCATCCCGAGGAGCGGCTGTCAACGTCACGATGCTTCTACCCACGCACACATACACAACACATAAACATACGCATACAAATACGTATGCATACATTTACACATATGAATCACATAACGTAACATGTCGGATCCACTCGAATTCGAAATTCCGAGATTCTAAAAAATTGAGAATTCGAAATTCATACACAATTTCCGAATCGAATCGTTACGAATGAACGAACAACCGAACGAACGAAGTATTCTAATATCATGCAAAAAGAATCCAATGTTTTTTTCACTAGTGAGGGTAGAGGGTTTAGGTTTAAAAAAAAAAAAAGAAAAAAAAGGGAATCTTTTTCCAGTTTTGCTTTTAGATGATAGAAGAAGGAGAAGAAGAAGAAGAAGATGAGGAGGAGGAGGAGCAGGAGGACGAGGAAAAGGGAAAGGTGGGAGTAAAGATGGAGAATGAGAGGAAGTAGCTTTGATGTTCGAGAGGTACTTTTAAAACAGGAAAACCTGCTGTGCAAACTCTTCTCTCCCTAGGAAGAAAGTTTGGATTACCTTTGGCCACACGGTTGCGGTTGGTTGGAGGCCTCTTTGAAAATGACCTGCTGCTGCTGCTGCTGCTGCTGTACCGATGAAAAAGACCAAACTATATATACCTTTCTCTCTCTATCAATCTCTTTTTCTCTCGTTCTTTTTTCAGTTTCTTTTTTTTCCTGTTTTTTTTTTTTTGGTTTATTAGCAAAAAGGATGATAGGGCAAGTTTTGGCAGTAAATCAACAGAATGAAAAATCGTGTGCTATAGTTTTCTAATGAAATTGCGACAAGTTTAGTATTATCAGGTAACATTCATCATTTGATAGAAAATATCATTTGAAAAAAAATTAGTAAACGAATGACAGATACTTAACACAGTATCAATAATAGTAGTTTCAATAATAATATGAATCATAATAATAATAATAATTATTATTGTGTCATTTGAATTTAACAGCAGCAACAGTAGTAGCATTGTTCGTACGTAATGCTCGTCGGATGAGCAAACGCGAATGATGTGAACCATGTCATTTTAGTGATTATAGTTAAACACGTCAAACGTTGGTATAGTTCTACACATACCATAATATATATTCGCGTATCTTCTGTTATGTAATAACAGTAATTATACTATCACGAGATAATTATGACGATCGATCTCATTCATCCAATTGCTGTTACCTCAATGTATACCAAAATATCAAAATCACGTGTTTTCTCTACTTGTTCCTCTCATATTAACCAGTTAAGCGTGTTTGACGACTATATCCGTCATGGAGATGTGACAAAATTTTGTGTTATGACGTCTATATCTGTCATGCGTAAAAGTTTGTTATAATGAAATATATGTGTTCATATTAAGAAACTGTGTGTACATTACTAACAATTTCCAAAAAAAAAAGTTAATACAAAAGTTCTAAATATAGAATATTACCTAAGAAATAAATGATTCGAGTAAATAACTTGTCCTCGGAATAAAAATCGCGATTAATAAATTACGTTGGTTTAAGTGTCTTGCTTACAAATTTTTTTTTTCCTTTCTGTACGTTCAATCGGTAAACGATTATGTGTATGCAAGTGTATGTACATGTATTAGTATGTTTTTTTATCTTTTTTTATTTAATATTATTACGTGTGTATTTATGTGTGTTTTTCGAATACAAACGATTGTAATTACTAACTCAAACGCGAGTTGCATACAATTTTATTCTTTTTAATTTTATTTTTTCTCTCTCTCTCTCTCTCTCTCTCTCTGTCTCCTTAACTTTTTCATTCATAAACAGACATTGTTTATTCCACGGAACGTACCTTTTTTTATACTAGAAAGAAATAACGAGCTTGAAAAGGATGAATAAACACAAATATACTTATCGAAAGCAATTAAAAAATGTTTCTTCTTATCACGATGAGTATTAAAAGAAAAAAAAAATACAACGGAGAATGATAAAATAGCGTTATACAATTCTTTTTATCTCTATTTTTTTTTTCTTCTTTTCTATTCGAAATAGAAGATAATCCAGAATTGGTTACAATAATAATTATTACTCACGCATATTTTCGTATCATTGGCGTAGACTCCATAGTTGGTTTCAATATCAAATTAACTTCCTTTGTCACATGTGTGCCACCTTATAATATACACCGGTTACATTGTGTATGTGCGTTGTATACGTGTAGTACGTACTGGTATATAATACGTATTTATATTTATGTATATGTTTGTGTACGTTTATGCGTGTTATATATGTCGATGAGAAGAGAAACGTTTATTCTCGAAACACTTCTTCTTATTTTTCTTCGTAATTTTTTTTTGTCTATTTTTCTTTTTCTGTTCTTCTTGTTCCTTATTCTTTTTACTTATTCAAGAAAGGAATAAAACGGGTCGTATGAAAATTTGTCTTCACCTTTATTCTTCTATTATGTTCCACCGAAGAGAACACTGTTACTAAAGCTACTGGCATTTAGAACGGCGCCTGACGAGAATAGCGCAAATATGGAGTATAGTCTCTTCTATTCGTGTTTTAAACCATGCGAAGACACTTTCCCATCTATAAGTTTAAACTTAACGTTATATATAAATTATATATACTATAATGAACGTTATATATTATTAAATATATAATTAAATGCGTTATATATGTATATATAATGAATTTATATATAAATTATTATATAAAAATATAATTAAAGATAATATTATAAAATTTTAAAATTATTATTAAGAAATATATATTTATATATAAATTAATAAAATATCATACACAAAAATTATATTCTTTTTTTCTTTATAAGAAAATAGATAAAGCAATTTAGTTCGACTAGAAAATAATTGATCCAACTCTAATTTATCGATCAATAATCGCTAAATTAATGATCCGATTATTATTAAATATTTAAATTACTATCACAGTGTGCTACTTTTATTATTATTATTATTATTATAAAAAAATATATATTAATATAATGACGAGAAGATAAACTTTCTTTCGTTTTTACTCGTTTAATTGATGGATTTGATAAAATTGGGTCACTAATACAGACAAAAGCATCGATAATAATTTACGATTTAATCTTTATTATATTTTTCTGTAAAAAAAAATACAAAAGAAAAAAAATGTACAAAAACGTTGTTTTACAAAAAAAAAAAAAAGGGAAAAAAATGAGAGATATTTGAGTTATTTTTGTAATTCGATTTGAATGATCGACAAAATGGTTTTCTGTCTCTCTCTCTCTCTCTCTCTCTTACTCTCTTTCTAGATATCTTTTTCTATTTAATTGCAATATAATATTAGCTTCCTCGTCGCGCGTGCAAAATGTTCGCGAGCCTGCACGCCGCGGTTTAGAACGGTACACACGTTCTACGGGGAACCGTTTTCCCCATGGCATACGAACTTTAAGAATGCACGTAAGCTTCGCTCGTAAAGACGCTGGCTGGCTACCTTCTCTTCCTTCCTTTTTCCGGTTCGCGATTATCCACTCACACACTAACAACAAAACTCATCTTTTTCTAATTCATCTATTTAAAAAAGTTTTTATATACAAATATCTGGCCCGATCAGTCAAAATGACTAGTCTGGTATATCTAGTGTTAAAAAATTAAATAAAAAATATTTTCGATGCTTTTGTCTGATTGATAAAGTAATAAATAATTGTAGTAAATTGAAACAAAGAAAATATCAAAGTTGTTCTTGTCGTAATCACCGTAATACATCCTCTCAACGTAAACTCGTAGAACGGAACGAAAGTTTTGCGTGTTCTCCACGATCTAGACATCCAAGGCACGGGATCACACATATACACACACAAACTAACTACCAATAATCGCGATGAAGAAGACGATAAAAGAAGACTATGAAGAAAACGAATTATGAACACACTTAAAAACATCCGATTAATATTTTGCAAGAAAATTGATCAACACCCCCCACCCCGATTGTGCAACATAACAACATTTTATTTTTTTCAAATATTCAAAATATCAACACGCGACGCGAACATTGTAAAAAGAAACGAATTGTTTTTATCAAAAATTTTCTCATTTCCTTTTTCAACAAATTTCTCTCTCAAAAGAAAAAAAAGAAAAAATCCACAATAAAAACACAACGAACGTTGTCAAATTTAATCAATAAAAAAAAAATTCCACAGTATTCTTTTTTTCTTCTTTTACTTTTTTAAATTTAATCCAAAAAAAAATCCCAAGGTATTTTTCTTCTTCTTCTTTTTCTTCAAAAATCCAACGAATTCTGTAAAATAACTTGCTGAGTAAAAAGAAGCAAAATCGTGTTGAAAAATCTTGATTTTCCTTCTTCTTCTTCTTCTTTCAAAAAAAATTCTCAAAATTCCAAAATATCAGCAGAGTACGTAAGCGATCGATGAACTCTCCCTCTCTCTCTCTCTCTCTCTATCCTTTTTAAATAAAAGAGAAGAGGAGTATATCACTTGAACGAGGAGCCGACTTTTACGCGTTGATTCGCGTTACTCGCAACTATTTCAGCTGGATCGACGAGATCGAGCGGATATTTCGGATAACTTGTTCCTTCTCTCTTGAATGCATGTGTATGTGCTTGGTTATAGGAGAAAGAGAGAAAGAAAGAACGAAAGAAAGAGAGAGAAAGAGAGAGAGAGAGAGAGAGATGAGTATTATACACACAAGTATCCAACGTATACACTAATTCTACACTAAAGCACACGTACACGCACACATAACACATACAACACACACGTGAAGAGAAAGAGGAGCCACGCTGTATCGGAATGTGGGTTCGGGCGCCGGTTTTCGAGGTGGCCGGACAGCTGAGAGCTCTGCGATTCTCTCGGGCCGACTACTTCTCCGGCTCGGCATGAAACCTTCTCATCCTCCATCCTCTCCTTCCCTTGCCCCCTGCCAACCTTCTCTACCTTCTCCTCTTCATCCTCCTCCTCCTCTATTCCATCTCCTCTTTCTTCTCGGCAACTCCTACCTTCTCTCTCTCTCTTTCTCTCTCCTACTACTCGTTCGTCGAGTCGAGTTGAGTCAAGTCACATACTCATATACACACTCACTAACTCACCCAATCGTACACTTTACTTGGTCACTTACCCGTATACATATATTCATCCACTACTTATGCACTTACTAATATATATACGTATATTCATACAAATACAGAATGTATATGTGTACATATGAATATACACATATATGGGTATGGTAGAGAGACATGTATATAAAGGTACAATCACATGTATGCACATACATACACACAGTGTTGCGAGTACAACATTTTCTCTGGTTGGTTCGTTTCGCAGGCCGCTACCTTTGCTATAAAGTAGGTATACTCCGTTAGCGTGATCGTTAGTCCACGCTCAGCGTGACGCGTGGGCGCATTATATGTATGTGTGTGTTGTGTGTGCATTTGTGAGGGGATCTGCAGATCTACGTATGTATAAGAAAGAGAGAGAAAGAGAGAGGAAAGGAGAGGACAGCTCGAAGCGTTTTATCGCGGTCTACTCGTCTCTCGAATGCTTGGCATACCTTTGAGTTTCAGGAAAATCCAGTAAGAATTTTCAGGTAGCAAGTACCTAGCTACCCTACCTTTCCTATTCTCCACACTATTCTACTACGTTTCTAGATTTTTATTTCTTTCTTTTCCCCAAAATGTAATATATATTCTTGTAACAAAATTTTCGAGTATATATTTAAGTAGGAAGGGTTTTTATTAAATGTTTAATATTTTAAAAATATTAAATTTATGATTTAGTTAATAATACATTTTTTCTATTTCATACTATTTTACTATGTTTATTTTTTTATTATACAATTTTATTTATAAAATTTATTTAATAATGAAATTATAATTATTTTAAATAAGGTATATATTTTATATGTATTTTATTTTTGTTTATTTTAATCCCTGTTTACATATAATACGTGTGAGTAAGATTGATATGTGACAATCCCTTTAAATTCTGATTAAATCTATTATATCAATTGCAGATAAGATAAAGATAGCTTTCTCTTCATTTTATTAGAACGAACAATCATAAGAGAAGAATCACTGATATGCATTTCCGAGGTTCAAGGAAATGAGATATTCTCGTGTGATAGCTATATCACACATACACTGGATTCGTTGGTGATACGAGACGGTGTGATTGATGTAATTGGAGTGCTTTGATTATGAGGAAATACGAAGAAGCTCTTGCGCTTACCTACTTTGTAATATGTCACTACTAAAATGATATAATTAGTTTCTCTTTTTTCTCTCTCTCTCTCTCTCTCTCTCCCAAACTCTTCTCCCACATATTCTCCTGAGAAAGAAACATCTTGCATGTCGCTTATTATTAATGACAAAAATTTAATTTATACATTTTTATTTACTCGTTAGAATATTAAATTGCTATATACACAATTTCAATATATTTTCCACGAGATCAATTTGTTTTCAATTTCTCTACCCAGCTACGATATCTTCCCAACGATTTAATATTTTGATTAAAAAATAATCCATTAATATGATAATCATTGAGAGAGAGAGAGAGAGAGAGAGAAAGAGAAAGAGTATGGAAGATTGAATTAATTCGTCAGGAATATTCAAATTATTTTCATTATAAGAAAGCGTACACATTTAATCGCATACTCGTAATTCATTCATTCAATAATTCAATTCTGATACGCGAGAGTATCCCATTTATTTTCCTTTTTATTTATCTCTATTTCTGTTTTTCGCACAAGTACCATTTGTATGCTGTTATTATTTTATTTAACAATAAATTTCACTTGTAATCTTTAAACGTGTTGATTAACAATAAGATACAATATTTTATTTTTTAATTTAATATATTATATTACTTTCTCATTCTCAACTTTGTATTGGTTCGATATATGTTTCAACTGTTGTTTCCTCTCTCTCTCTCTCTCTCTCTCTCTTTCTCTCTAAGAGTAAAGTAGAAAAGACCCGATGTAAGATGATTGGCATCGTTAGAGCGAAAATCGCACGCTTAGGTCGCTCGAAATGGAGCGTGGGTCTCGATCGAGAGGATGATGACAGTCCGGGAAAGTTTCAACGAGCTTCGGACTCGCTTCAGAGTTTCACGCTCGATCTACTCTCTTCTCCTCCTCCTCCTCCCCCTCTTACACTCTCCCACACTCTCTTCCACCCTCTCTCTCTCTCTCTCTCTCTCTCTCTCTCTCTCTCTCTCTTACTATCTTAATCTCTACTTACAAGTTAACTTTTTATTAAAGCAACGAAAAGGGTCGTAGAAAATGATTTTTCTTCGAAAGTAAATCTTATCCAAACTTTCCATCTTATTCCCACCCCCTCGCCCTTTCTCCTATAAGCCAAGAAAACAAAAATGATCAAAACGAATGATGAGGAGAGTTATCATTGTCTGATTAAAAAAATGTGCAAAAGAATAAATATCAGATAAGAATGTAGGTAAAGGGTGACAATCATTTGATCATAATCGTCAGATTCATGGAAAAAATAAAAACAACGAATATTAGAAATGATCAGAAGTAGGGAAAGGGTAGAAATCATTACATCGAGATAATTGTAAAATGTATGAAATAAAAAATACCAAATGTGAGTAAAACAAACTAAAGAAGGGTCAAAGGGAGATATGATCAGATCATCCAAAAATGTTGTAAGATGTATGAAAAAGGGTCGGGAAAATGAATAGGGAGAATAATTTTTTTCGTGCAAAAGGTTGTACCTAAGATTTACAAAAAAGAAGAAAACAAAAGAAGATACAAAAAAAATTCTAAGAAGAGAAGAGAAGAGAAGAGAAGGGAGGGTAAAAAAATGGTCCTTTCGGTAGAAGAAGGAAAAAAAGGATTGAAAAGTTGACTAGACGAAGGACACGGAAGGTTAGGATTACAAGGAGAGGTCCAAGAGAGGAAAGAGAGAGTAAGAGAGAGAGAGAGAGAGAGAGAGAGAATACGAGCCACTGTCAATGACTTTAGCGTGTCGGAGAGAAAAGTAAATATAGCGCTCGGCGACCAAACCAGTTCTCTTAAAATAACTCGCGGTCCTAAGGAACGCATTCTCCAACCCATCGACGGCTTTTTCGGTAGAGAGAAAGAGAAAGACAGAGATAAAGTATCTATATATGTGTATTTGCGCATGTATGTGGGTATTTGTGAGAGTAACTGCAGTAACTGCAAGTAGAACCTCAAGTTCGTATAAATTTCCTTCTTTTTTTTTTTTTTTCATACGGTTTAGCAATTTTTTCATCTTCACTGTCCTTTGTATTTATTTGTGCGTGTAGGTGTGTGAGAATAACTGCAAGTAGAGAGGAGCTTAAGTTCGTATAAATTTTGTTTCTTTTTTTTTTTTTTTTATACACGGCTTAACAATATTTTCATCTTCAGTGTGTTTGTGTATATTTTTCTCCCACTCTATTTTGTTTCTTTTTTCCATTTCACCCATCGTAACAAGTACGCCATATAACTCGGACGACTAATTAAGAGAATGGTTTTTAACAAACGACGATATTTTGTTTTGTTGTTCTTTTTTGAAAGTTTATTTTCATTTTTGTAAGGACCCTCTTCTCCCTCACCCCTCTCTCTCTCTCTCTACGTGATCGATTTTATTAATTGACTTAATGAACGATTTTAATTGGAAAACGACAAAGGTATTTCTTGCGTATCGCTCGTCAATCCTTCTGTTATTTCTTCTTTTCGTTGTTTATTTTACGAATCGAACAATGACGCGCGTTTTAAAAGTTTATATGAACAAGTATTTTTATTTTATTTTGGATAACGGTAAGGTAATAATTGGTTGCTTGCTCGAAGAATTTTTTGTGTGAATTTTCTTCGTTTCTTCCCCTCTCCCCCATCTCGTTAATTCATTTTATTTAACAAACGAGCAACGGTATCGGGGAGTGAGAAGGGAAAGGGGGTAAGATTTAAGAAACGTATTTTAAATTATTCTCATATCTCGTCTCATTTATTTTCCATCTTTTTATCTCCTTCTTGAAAATTTGCCGTATATTTTTTTTTCTTTTTTTTTTTTATAGAAAATAATCTACGAGGGAGAAGATAAAGAGAGAGACTTTTTTCGTATCTATAGTGTGTCACGTATACTAGCAAATTTTATGAAACTCTTGTTTAAGATTGTTATACGTGTATTTCATACGTGTACTCATTTTTATGTACATATACAAAACTATCATTCCCAAGTGAAGTAGGTAAATATTTGTTATTCAAAAATTCACCCGTGAATGAAGAAGTTCCCTGATACTTTTTATTTCATATTATTTTATTTTATTTTATTTGATTTTATTTGATTTTTTTACATATTTTTAACAAGTAACTCTAGAAACGATTATTATCTTCTCAAAATGATAAATAACTCATCCATCTGATGAAATTACTTCAACGTCCTATCATTTAACATAACGAGCTACGAGAAATTCAAAGTGATTTGTACCTTCAGTCAAGGTTTTGCAAGCTTCTTATTCTCGCCTACGTAATCATCGTCATCATCATCATCATCACCATCACCATCACCATCACCATCACTATCATCATCATCATCATCACCATCATCATCATCATCATCATTATCATTATTATCATCATTCATGTAATAGTAGTTATTGTTGTAGTTGTAGTTGAATAAGTAAATTCGATAGTAAATTGAAGGACTAGTCTTAGAAGGTTGTTCATAGTTCAGCAAAGAATTTTATCTTTGAACTTAATCTTCATTCCAGCCGATAATTATTTCGAGAAGAAGATTAACGATCGATGATAATTGAACAACTGCCATAACCGAGTTGCTGGCTCATTTTTAATAAACTCACGAAACTCTCTGACTGAGAA